CGGGGCGCGCGCCGCGCGAGGCTGGGCTCGGAGCGCGCGGGGTTCGGCCGCCAGAGACCGAGCGGGGGCCGCGCCTGGACGCTGGAGCGCACGAGCATTCGAGGTTGCGGACCTGGGAGGGAGGAGCCGCCGGCCGTCGCCTGGAGGGAGCCCGAACCTGCCACCGGCCATGAGCCGCCGGGCCCCGGGAGCCCGGCCGTGGTCCGGGCAGCGCTCTGCCGGCGCCCCGGCCCGCCCGGCCGCAGCTGCTCGCCTGTAGGTACGGCCTGCTTGTCCCCAGTTGCCCCGTCCCCCTTGTGCATCACCCCGATCCCCCACCGCTTCTTAGGGTGTGCGTGTGTGTTGGCACAGCTGCCCTGGGGAGCGCGGCCGCACGCGCCCCGGTCCGCGCGTGTCGTCTTTGTGTGCGCGTGTGGACGGGGTGAGGGAGAGCTGCGCCCCCTCTGGAGCCGGCTTCCAGCCCCTTCCCCGGAGGTGCCGAGCGGCTCCGGAGCAGCTGCGCCCCCACCCCTCCCAGGGTCGGGATCCGGCTGGGGCCGAGCGCCCTGGAGGAGGGGGTCTCTGGCGGGGGAAGAACGCGACCGTATCCTTTCCCTAGGCTGGGGGTGGGGGGACGCAGCTAGAATGAGGGTGACAGACATGGGCTGGGGTCGAGAGGGACCCCATCCGGGCCACTGCTCTCCAGGTTCTGGGCCGGCACGCCTCCGGCGAGCCCAGGCTCCGTTCCTCACCGCCACCGTTCCTGACCCGCCCACCAGAGAGCGCCCCCGCAGCCCCCGAGAGCCGGGAATCGCCGAGGGTGCGCGAGGGGCCGGCGCCTTTAAGAAGGGGCGGGTTCGTGCCCACCATTCAGGCCCTTCGGCCTGGGCCATTGAAGAACCTGCCGGCTGCGCGGGGCCCGGAACCGCGCCTGCCTAGCTGGCCAAGACCAGGCAGAGTAAGGGCCCCTCCAGGTCCCTAGAACCTCCAGTGGGATTTTCAGGGAAGAAGTCTGCAGGGACTGGGGCCCTTCAGGGACCAGGCAGCAGCCTCAAGAGTGACGGTGATATGATAAGCCCGAGCCTGCATTCACACAGAGGAACCTTTGAGGCTGAAGTCAGACCAGGGCTGAATCCTACCTCTGTCCCTTCAGCTTCATTTCCTTCCTAGTAAAATGGGCTTGCTGTTGCCTCCCTTATAGCTGAGTGACCCACAAGAGTTGCTCCCCGTCCAACACAGGTCACTGAACTTGGAATGAGCGAGGCCCTCTGGGAGGCCAGGATGCCCATGGGGTGGTTTTCCTAAGAGGCGCTCTGATTGACCTGTTGGATGGGAAAGGGCTTCAGCCTCTCCTACTCTGGACATCACCACCACCATGTCGAACAAATCTCACCCTTCTGGCCCTGGAGGCCGTTGGTTGGGGAGCTACCTGTTTCAAAGGACTTTGGGAGGGTCCTGGCAGTGGGGGCAATGCCGTTAGGCTAGTGTGGGTCTGAGTGTTTGGGGAGGTGTCTCAGGCAGTTTTTCACACATTGCTTCCTTCTGCTCCCGTCCCTGGAAGTCTCGCTCATCAGTTTTTGAAGTTCTGAACCACTCCCCCTACTTAGTGCGGGTCATCTTTAGGGGTGGGGTTCCCTTGGGGATACCAGGACTGAACAGCTCTTGGTTTCCAGCTGACTCATGCCAAGTCAGAGCATGAGTGCCCCTTCTCACACAGCCTACACAACAACTGTGGGCTTGGTACTATTACTGTTGCCATTTTATAGAGGAGGAAACAGGAAGTACAGAGACTTGCCCAAAGTCACTCAGCCGACAAGTCAGACCACCTCTGCCTGACAAGAGCCTGGTTCCCACATCCTGCACTGCCCATCCACCTGGGTTCTGGGGAGTTGGGAGTTTAGGTACCTCAGGCTGCCTGGCTGCCGTCCCCATGAGGTTCTGGTCCAGCCTGGGAGCCTGTTTCTCTCCCTGCTCTCCATGTCCACGTGAGGTGGGAGCTCTGGGACCTCTGAGCCCTAAAGGGCTTTCTCTTCCCCCCTCACCCGGTTGGGTCTGTTCTTGTAGCCATGAATGGGAACTCCCTAGGGGTGACTCCTTGATATCTCAAGGGGCTCACCACTGGCACCTGGTTGGTCCGCGCCAGGTGAGGCATTGATGGATGGGAGGATAGCATCCCGTGGTTCTTCTGGATGGAGTGGAGCTCAGGCTCCGTTCTCCAGACACTTGCACCCCTCTGGTTACACCTGCGGCTGGTGAAACAGACCTCCCAGACTGGTGGAGGAGACAGGCCAAAGCCATTTGGGGTTGTAGAAGGTCAGGGAGGTCTGGGTGGAGGTGGGGACAGGATGCAGGCGCATTAGCAAGGCCCCTATAGGCTCCCCCCCCCCCCCGCCAGCTACTGGGGCAGGAGTGGGAGGGGGTGGGGTCATTGACTGCTGAGAATTGCCAGGGACATGCAGGAGCTGGAGGAAGAGGATGGGTAAGGGTTTGGATGTGGTAAGATTGAGATGCAGTCCTGGTGGCATAGTGGTTAAGCACTTGGATGCCCACCAAAAGGTTCTAACCCACCAGCAGCTCCACAGAAAAAAGACGTGGCAGTCTGTTTCCATAGAGATCTCAGCGTAGAAAACCTATGGGACAGTTGTGCTCTGTCCTGTAGGGTCTCTCTGAGTCGGAATCAGTTTAACAGCAAGTGTTTTCCTGGTGGTGCACAAATAAGCACTTGGCTACTAAGCAAAAGGCTGGTGGTTCGAACCCACCCAGGACCTCCATGGGAGAGAGACCTGGCAATCTGCTCCTGTGAAAATTATAGCCTAGAAAGCCCTGGAGGCAGTTCTCGTCTGTGGCATGGGTCATTGGGAGTCAGAAATCGACTAGCTAGCATGTAACAAGTTTGAGGTGCCAAGAGATCAGCCAGTCTGGGAGCTGAGGTGCACGGAGAAATGTCCAGGGAACCCTGACACACCCCTGCAGTGCCCAGAGGTCCAGATGTTCAGAACTGAGGGGAAGCAGCCGGAGGTCACTGGTGGGTGTACCATGCCAAGGTCAAAGGGCCGACTCAGAGCAGAGCTTGAATGGTAAGGGTAGCAGGGGGCAGGCAAACCTCAAGCTGAGACAGTACCCTGCAGGTTTGGGGGCCTGGGCCAGAAAAGGGATATGAATCAGGATCCAGGTGAGGCCTGTGATACTGGGAGAGAGGGGGAGGCTGCAAGGCTCAAGCCAAGGCTGGAGAGGGAGTACCTCTGCCTCTGCACCACCAGGAGGGGAGACAAGTGGGAGAGTGCGGG